CAACACCTTAAAAAAAAAAAAAAAAAAAAAAACACGACCAAAGCAACCAGCTGTTGAAGGAGTGAGTCTCTGTGTCCCATAGGCATACAAGATATAATGTTAGATCTGTTTGTGTAGATTGGCTTTTGTTTAGAACTGAGCGCTTTCTAAAATTTTATTTCCTCCTCTATGATCCCATAAAACCTAGTACATATCTTTAATATTGTACTAAAAACACTATATTGCAATTGGGTTATGTGATGTTCATCTGTCTACTCTATTGTGCTATGAGATCCTTACATGTTATTTGTCTTTGTATTCCAAACGCCTAGCACCAGGTTTGGCACATATTAAATAGTAATTCTGCTTATTTTAAAAATATATGGACGAAAAAATGACCACGGTAAGAGACACATTAAATACCCCATTATATCATTCCCCCTAAGGAGAATAATAATAATAAAATTAGGCATAGAGAATGTCTCATCGTGTTACGTGGCTCCGCCTTATTATACAATGCTCACAGATGCACTCTGTTTCCGACAGAGGGCGCACTAGAGCAAACATTTCCTAGGTGACCCAACTCACTTCAAAAACACCTTGTCGGTGAAGGAGTTGCCTAAACTTGAACAAAATCCTCGTGATCCCTAATCTCTCAGAAGAGATGAACTGCCTTTCTTATCAAATGTGTAAAGTTCTTGGTCGTGCCAGCTGGACTCACTTCAGATTTTATTTTGGCTTAAGCTAACAGGCAGTGAGAATTTTGTTTATTGGTGAGTTATCAATGTTAACTCGGTAAGTGACTATGTTATATAATATATATCCCCAAATTACTGGGGATCAATTCTTCTCATTCATTTATGAGCTAAACATGCCACCTCTCTCTAAGGTGTCTGACAGAGAAGACGACCATCTGCCTCAATCCTCCCCTTAAATTCACGATCACTGTCCAAGCATGTGTGGCTCTCAGAAGATAGAACATCATACCCAGACTTGGAAATTCTAGGAGCTAATTCTAGGAAATTCCAAATCAACTTCATATCTTTTTTTTTTTAAGATTTTTATTTATTTATGAGAGAGAGAGAGAGAGACAGGGGCAGGCAGAGGGAGAAGCAGGCTCCTTGCTCAGCAAGGAGCCTGACGTGGGACTCGATCCCAGGACCCCGGGATCATGACCTGAGCCGAAGGCAGACGCTTAACCGACTGAGCCACCCAGGCGTCCCCTTTTTTTTTTTTTTTTTTTTTTTTTTTACAGGGCCGGGAGTGGGATGGTGAGAAAGAACAGAAGCACGGATCTGACACATGCACAGGTGTTCCTGAAATCACTGTAGCCTCTGTGTGTTTTCATTCTGGTATTTACTGTTCTGCTCTAAGGTCTCGGTACAGTAGAAAGAGTCCAGGTATGGGAATGTTGGGAAGAATACAAGGCTGAATATCAAGAACCTCGGTCCTAGTCTCAGCTCTGCCAACAACTAAGGTAAGTAAACATGACCAGGTCTCAATGTATAATTCTGTAAAATGAAAATAGTGGAATAGACGATATCTATAGTTCCGTCAACACTCAAATTATGAGAACTCCATGCCTTATTTCACAGAACTCCAAACTATTTTGAACTTCAATTTTTAGCCACAGCCACTAAAGCTATTACTTGGTGTAACAATGACAAATCAATCTGGATGACTGTTCTTTGCAGTTCCCTCCAGCCTTGCACTTCCTGTTGACTTTGGATAAAGGAATTCTTTTCCTTTGCTATGTGGTAACCTTTTGGCCTAGATACTGGTTTAAGGATACAGAAGTACTGTGACATCCCTATGGAGGCTGGTTGCAGTGGTCACATGGCTCCTTCCACATGGTCCTAAGGATAAATTCAGTAATTTAAAGTAGTCCCAGAAAATTTAGATTCCCCTTACATTGGAAGATATCCTTTTCATGGATATAAAAATACTCAAGTGGTTTGCCATTAAGAGGTGTGATTTCCTTCCTGATAACTTGGCCTGGTCATTTCAAACTTCTAACTGTCCCCACTTGTTGAATTCTCCTTCCCTGTCACAGGGGTGTTAAAGATGCACCCTATTTGGCATAGAATAAAGGAAGGAAGTTAACATTTCTGGAGTACCTCTGAACATGAATTTTGCCCTGTGTCCACAGACTCTATACCACAGAGGGGTGAAAAGCCTGATTTTGGCCCTTTCCCCACTCTCCTTCCCCTCCAGGTGTTCCAGAGCATCCTGAGTCCTTAGCAGGACTAAGGACTCTGCTGTGGCTGAAAGAACCCTAAGCTCATTTCCCCAGAAAAAACCATCATGGAGTTACATCTGACTGTGTGACAGCTTCCTAGGCAGAGAGGTGGCCTCTGAGCTCAGCTAAAGAGGAGCGTTGGTGAGAGCAATGTCGCAGGCTCCAGTCCTACAAGGCCAGTTCACGGTGCTGTTTCCTGACTGTGGCTGACACTCCATCTTCAAGTTTTGTGCAAAGGCTCTCAATGGGAATCAAAACATGGATAATCAGGCTGGAGTCTGTGTCTGTGTGTAAGCCGCTGAAGCCCAACCCTGTGAGTGCTTAGGCGCTTGGCCTTTAATCCTCATAACACCCATGTAAAGTACCGTCATTATATCCATTTTACAGATAAAGAAACTGAGGCTCAGAGAGTTTATGTGACTCTCCAAAGGAGCAAGGAATACAATTCATTTTCCCATTGCATCATGCAATTTCCCAAAATTGCCTGCCCTAATTCAAAAGATTCCTCTTTTTTGGGGCGCCTGGGTGGCTCAGTCGTTAAGCGTCTGCCTTTGGCTCAGGTCATGATCCCAGGGTCCTGGGATCGAGCCCCGCATTGGGCTCCCTGCTCAGCGAGGGGCTCTTCCACTCCCCCTGCTTGTGTTCCCTCTCTCGCTATGTCTCTCTCTGTCAAATAAATAAAATCTTAAAACAAAAGATTCCTCTTTTTATATGAAGCAAAAGATGATCAAAAGTACCAGCACCTGAGAACAAAGAACAAAAGTGACAACAGTCAATGCTGAGTGACAAGTTTGAATCAGTCCTTGAATTTATTTTAGTCCATATGGGAGATATATTTAATCATATTCAGAAGAATGAAAATCATATTCAGAAGAATGAAAATTTGAAGTTGAAGTAACTTTTCTCCTGAAAGTGATACTGGCTGTTTGGTAAAACTTCCCTCCCCTATTAATGTTTGGGAGGGGCTCATGTGATTCTTCCATGAATGCGTCTTTCCAAAACTAGCTGGCTATTTCAGTGGTTGGCATGCTAGAGCCAGTTCAGTCTGGCTCTGGCGAACCGATTGTACCTACCTATTTCCAATTCTGGTAGCTTGAAATTGGCCATAATGGGAGTACTTACAACACGGAAATCAGTAAACTATACAAATCAGCATACCCCCTCTTATCCTCCCCCACTTCGTGAGAGCTGGTTATTAAACATTTGTCCTTACATCTTGGACTGTTAATCATAGATACCTGGTAATCTGACAGCATCAGTAACACTGAATATTTCCAGGACAGGCTAGTTTTCTTAGGAATAGGATTCTATGGCATGACATCAGGATAATTGAAAACTGGCACAAGGGATAGAGTGTGCAAAATGTCCCAGACTATTTTTTTTAAAGATTTTATTTATTTATTTGATAGAGAGAGACACAGAGAGAGAGGGAACACTAGCAGAAGGAGTGGGAGAGGGAGAAGCAGGCTTCCCGCCGAGCGGGGAGCCCGATGTGGGACTCGAGCCCAGGACTCTGAGACCATGACCTGAGCCGAAGGCAGACGCTTAACGACTGAGCCACCCAGGCGCCCCAAAATGTCCCAGACTATTAACTCACTGTGAGCATAGCGTTTCTCAGAAACTTTGAAGGGAACTCCTGTAAACTCCTTCCAGATCCTCAGGAGAAGCCAGGAATAATTATTCTCTTGAGAATACAACAAGAGGAAAATCCAACAAGAGGAAAAACGGGAGGAAGACACAGTCATCAAGAGAATTCATTAAAATGTTTGCCAAAAACAGCTTCAATATTTCATGTGAAATCCAAGCATAAATAATTTGCTTTGTGTAAAGAAAAAGTTAGACTCAGGCTAAGATGTCAGAGGAACAATGAACGTTAATGCACTGACAATTAGGAAACGTGCAGGAAGGGATTGATCTGGAATCCCCTACGGCCACCTTTCTATGGACTTTCATGTTCCAGCTCAAAAAAACAGAGCCACAAATACTTACACATAGCTGATGGGGGCGGGGGAGTATAAAACGGTATAATCATTTTGGAAAAGTGGCAGTTTTTAACATGATATTTTACCCAAGAGTAATAAAAGCTGCATGTATGCACAAAGCAGCTTTATTCATAACAGTCTCACACTAGAAACAACACAAATGTCCAGGAACAGGACATTTGTAGTACCTTCATACATTGGAAGAATGGACTCAGCATTTAAAAGAAATGAACTATGCAATAACATCGTGTGTCTTTAAAACAGGAGTGGAGCAAAAGAAGTACAAACAATACACACTTTAGGATTCCATTTGCATGAGATTCAAGAACAGGCAAAACCAATCTCCCGTGATAAGAAGTGGTTGCCCCTACCTGGGATTGGAAGGATTGACTGGGAAAGGGTATGAGAGAATGTTCTGGGGTGCTGCAAGTGTTCTAATTCTTGATTGGAATGGTGCTGTACACTTAAGATACACTATGAGCCTTTTATTAAATTAAATCTCGACTGAAATATGTACGTATGTATAAATGTAAATAAATACACATACTTAAATTTCTAATCTAATAAAGGAATCTATCACAAGGAGCCAGGCTCCCCTCAGTCCCCTGAATTTCACACTTTGTCTCTGCCCTTCAAATACTTGGACTTCTGCTTTCATAATGAAGTGATGCTGCAAGTTGGAACCTTGTGCAATCACCCCCAGGTCATTTCCCTCTAGCTTGCCGACTTCCCATCGCTGTCACAATGCCGCATCTAGTCACTCCGGCCAAGATAGGAGAAAGTTTGGGAGGCAGGTTCAACCTGGTGGGGAATTCCTCTCCCCCGCACACTTTCCAACACAGGGCTGTGGCGGGTCACAGCCTGTGGGGCATGAATCAGCCTCCCGGGCTTTGCACAGGCACGCTCCGCCCCGTCCGGGGTCGGGAGGACACTCACCCTACATAAAGCAGGCACCCACCACATCGGCACCCAGGCTGCCTGGAGGCTGGACTCCGTGCACCCTCTTCCCGCTGGCACATTCAAGGAACGCCTCGCCCCGAGGGCCACTCAAACCGGACAGCATGGACTCTACTTGCCTCCTCGGGCTGTTGCTTCTGCCGTTGCTCCTGATCGGGACCGCGCTGGGCAACGGGGCTCAGGAGGCGCCAGGTATTGGCGGGTCTGGGACCCCCTCTTTGCGCCGGGCTTCCGCCCCACGGTAGGCAGCGTGGGCGCTGAGGCTGTGGGGTCCCCTGCACCCGCTCTCTCCGCCCCGCTTGCCCCGGGCCCCTGTTGCACAGGGCACGTCTAGGAGCCGCGGGAAGGGACGCTCGTGCCGAAGTTTGTACTTTCTCTCTGGGCAAACCCCCCTGGGCTGGGAAACGGAGGGACAGAAGTCCCTGGGAAGCCTCTACCTTCCCGGAGACGTGGCGGACCTCATTCCCCCTCTCAGGCTCCCCTGCTCCTCCAGAAGGAAACAAGGCAGACATCTGCCTCCTGTCCCCCGACGTGGGGCCGTGCCGGGCCCGGATCCCCAGTTACTACTACGACAGGTACACGCAGAGCTGCCGCATATTCTTCTACGGGGGCTGCCAGGGCAACGCCAACAATTTCGAAACTTTGGAGGACTGCAATGAAGCTTGCTGGAGGATAGAGAGTAAGTGGCCGAGCTCAAGCTCAGAATTCTTGCGCGGCTCCTTACACAGAAGGGCTGCTAGTAACTTAATTTCCCAGATCCCATTTTCCGCAGTAAGTTGTAGCCTGCATTTTCTCAAACATTAAGTAAGGCTAACTTATACATTGGCTAACAAATTTCTCTCCTAAGTGGCATTTATCATAATTCAGTGTCCGCGCAGACTCAGAGCAAGAGTTCACCGTAGGGCATAATGATGCAGGAGTATGATGCATTATTGGGTGCCACATGGGTACTTCTCTTTATCACTAGTTCTAAACCTATGGTTTTTATGCCTCCTCGAGAGCACCGTTTACTCGTGTCAATTACCTATCAATCTGAAATACTTTCAGCGGATTTTATTGTTAAAGTGTGATTTAGATAACTAACTTTTCCTTTTGTCCCCTGACACCTAAACTTGTTTTGGGTTAGTACAGGGATATAGGAGAGATTCATGATCCTGGTTTCTATTTCATTTTAATCATATTTATTGTATTTATGAAGGCCAGTAACAAAACATGGGACTTTGCCATTCAAGGAACTAAGCCAAGGAAAACTGTGTATGTATTCCCGTGAATAAGTTTGATTAACTTCATATGTAGAAAAATCAGAACACCCTGAGAGAAGAGAGAGAATTTCCACTGAATTTGGCTGACTCAGGTCTGGAGCCACTATTTAAAAAAAAAAAAAAAAAAAAAAAAGAGCTGAATAACTGGATTAAGGAAAAGTCTTTTGGGGATTTACTATCCCAGTACTAAATGTGATACTGTTTTCTCCTTAGTTGTTTCTGAAAATACAGTAAAGTTTTGAAGTAATACTAAGTATTACTTACTAAAAGTAAGTAATACTAAATAATACTAAGAAAGCTAATTTTTGACTAGCATTGTTTTATGCCCTCCTTTTCCTAGAAGTTCCCAAAATTTGCAGGTTGGAAGTCAGTAAGGGGCAGTGTGGAGCGCGCACAGGAGAGTATTTCTTCAATCTAAGTTCCATGACATGTGAAAAATTCGTATCTGGCGGGTGTCACAGCAATAAGAACAGGTTCCCGGACAAGGATACTTGTATGGGCTTCTGTGCACCAAAGAAAAGTAAATACTATTTTTATGGGGTTTCTATTTCATTTCTTTAAGATGTTAGGGTGAAAAGATAAATGATTTGATGTGTAATTAACATGCCTTGTGTTCTGATGATTTCACATATAGTAGGATATCAGTTCTACTATGTATATGTGCCCTGTGAGAGAGTATTATTATTTCCCCATTTACATATGAGAGTACAGGCTACCAGAAGTTAATGACTTGCCAAGTTCTCAGGGCTAGGAAGTTTTTGCTTCCTGTTCTGGATTGTTTCTTTAGAACTATTCCTCATTTACTTAATTTACACATAAAAATTACAGTATTCTGGGGGTGCCTGGGTGGCTCAGTCGGTTAAGCATCCACCTCTTGATTTAGGCTCAGGTCATGATCTCAGGGTCGTGGGATTGAGCCCTAAGGTGGGCTCCATGCCCAGCGTGGAGATGATCTCTCTCCGTCTCCCTCTGCCCCCTCCATGCCCTCTTGCGCGCTCTCTCTCTCTCTCTCTCTCTCTCTCTCTCTCTCTCGACTAAATAAAACCTTTAAAATAAATCACAGTATTCTGAATGCCATGACCTCAGGGTTGTAAGGAATCACTTGTGTATAGGAGATAGTGGAATATATACAGACCTCAGATGGTGAATCTTGATAATTGCTGTCTAAAGTTTTCAGCTAGATTTCTGCATCCTTTAGTAACTGCAAACTGCAGGACAAAGACCTCTCTATCCTTCCTTTTTCTGCTCTGATTTCTTATCTACATCCCCACCCCCTCAGTCCCTGAAATGATGGCTTACTTGGGCAATACTTTTGTAGAGAGAAACAGTACAGGCATTTTCCCTAGGCATAGCGGAGACACACATACACAAAGATATATAAACTTAACAAACAAGGAAAACTTGCTTTGGCCGAGATCTGAGGAAGCTCTATAGCTACACTGTGTGCAAAATCTCGTGTTAATGAGAAGATGGTTGTTGCTTGTGTTTCCTTAAATTTTTTGTGTAAAGGTAAATGTTCCAGTGGCTACTTGGGAATTACATAAATGGATTCTCGATTAATGATGGAAGGACAGCTGATAAAAACATTTAAAATAAACATACCAACACAAGAACGTTTACTAAAGCATATCAACCCTTGAAACCCAGCCGATTTCTACCTGACCATATCTGTTTCTTGGGTTTAATTTCTTAACACATTCAAATGATACAAGGACATAGCTTCAGAAGAAATTCTCTCCACTTTATAAAAACTTTACAATTAACAAACTAGAGCATGTAAGCTTTCTTGAAAATCGAGACACACTTTTTAAATGGTTTAGTATGATATTCTGAGTTCAGAATGAAGCTTCAGTGGGATTAGATTTTCTTCAGTTACTTCAGTAATCATCATAGTTTATTAATTTTGGTATTATTGCATTTCTAATTTTGTCTTCCTTTTCATCAAGTTCCGTCATATTGTCACAGTCCAAAAGATGGGGGACTATGCTCTGCTAATGTGACTCGCTATTATTTTAATCCAAGACACAAAGCCTGTGAGACCTTCACCTATACTGGTTGTGGAGGGAATGACAATAACTTTGTTAACATGGAGGACTGCACACATGCTTGTATAAAAGGTAGATTCTTTTTTTCTTATTCAATTTTTAAACTAATTTTATAAATAATTCGTAAGTAAAATTATATTTTATATATCCATTTTCCTAATAGCATATTGCCATCTCTAGACCACTTCTACATAAATAGCACTTTAGCACTGATCAATTTTGTTAAATGCTGCTCCAACAGACCGCAGCCGTATCCTTGCGTTTTAAAGGTAGAAAGTTATTAACTTGAGTGGATAGTGAGTAAAACTGACTTTATAATCATTAAAAATAGTTGAGGTGAGTGTGTAAGCATATTGGAAATGTTGACTTAAAGTGAGTCTATGGACTGGAGACATATGATATTTATTTTTATTTTGTTGACTTTAGCGGTGAGGAAGCAAAAGAATAAGAAGATGCCAAAGATTGTCTTTGCTCATAGAAGGGTGAAAACTTGGAAGAAGTAATTTTAACCTTTTTCCCTATATGTCATCTCGTGGAGCTATTGCCTCTATGGTTATATCTGAAGAATAATATGGTGATATGGGGAAATGAATCATGAATGATTTACACACCAGTTTTTATTGCTACAGGTTACTTTTTTGTGTATTTTTACACATAACTAGCCGCTATTCAAATGTGAATCTATTATTTTTAATTTACTGTTCACATATATTTTAATGTAATTGAATTCTTGCTGTGCATAAGATATAAAAGCAAATATGATTCACCCAGTTCTTGGAGTTGTTCTTCTTGATTTCAGAAGGTGATAGTAACTGAGAAGCATAAGACAATATAGTCATGTTCTCTTAACACATATGATCATAAAAAGGACCAGCAAATACATTTTATTTTGCATTTAAAAGCTGGATTATATTTTAGGTCCAAGGAAACAAACTGGCAGATTTACCAACACTTTAGAAAATATTACAAGTGCTGTTATGTAGACATGACTAACTTCTTTATCTACTGTGTCATTTAGAAGATAATAAAATAGCTTTTTTGAATAAGAAGTTAGTAAATTTATTAAAATCAGAAATGCTTTCTTCGGAGGATAACATTCTCTCTCTCTCTTCATCTACCTTTCCACCCATCCATCCTCACTCACATGTATATATTTGTTTATACATATAGATCTTACATTACTTCCAAAGATATTTAGATTGGAAACTACTAAAATTGTTAAAATTTTTGAACTGTTCAAGGCATTCACTGAAATTACAGACCATGAATTTAGTAATTTAAATTCTACTAGTGAATTATTCTTGATAAATATGATCATTCCAGTTAAAGTTTTTTTTCTCTGTAATAAAAATATTTTTAAAAATTCCTACAGTTCCACGGCAAGATCAATATATTTAAAATATGCCCCCAATCTAGCAAAATTGTAAGTGCATTTGCCCTTCACTTGAGCAATCCCTCTTTTAAAAAATCTATCCCAGGGGCACCTGGGTGGCTCAGTGAGGCATCTGCCTTCGGCACAGGTCATGGTCCCAGGGTCCTGGCATCGAGCCCTACACGGGGAGTCTGCTTCTCCCTCTCCCTCTGCCTGCCACTCCCCCTGCTTGTGCTCTCTCTCGCTCAAATAAAAAATAAATAAAATCTTAAAAAAAAAAATCTATCCCAAAGGTAATATGACAAAAACACAAAATGGTATATTCCTGAGGACATTCATTGATGTATTATTTGGAACAATCAAAAACTGGAAACAAACCAGATAATCATCAGTAGGGGATTGAAGAAATGGATGAAAAATGAGCAAAATATCTCTATATGGATATCATCTGCTCCTCAGAATACATTTTAAAAAAGGGTCTAGAACAACATGAAGAAATACACACATCACAGAGGACATAAAGATACTAAAAATAGTTACTTAGAGCAGGAAGAAGGAAATAGGATGGGACAGGCATGCAGATAAAATTTACGTGAATATACCTTAATATATACTTGTGATCTTAGACCATATAAACATTTTGCATAATAAGAAAGCAAAATTAAAAAGAATAGAAAGCATTCCTTCCACAATTGGAAACAAACCAAAACAACTGAACCCAAAGGAATATCAGATAACTGCCTAACTACAGAGAGAATACGTAATTATTTCTGGTGACTTTCAAAGGCAGTATTTTGACTATCTTTTAAGGGATATAATCTGAGGATCAAATAAATTGTGAAGAAATCGGAAAATACACTTAGTAGCCTTATTAGTAATATTGTTATTTTGAACGTACACAGAATGCTACATTATACTATATATTCTGTAAGAAAATATAAGAATTTATTTCTTTAGAAGTCAAGATTTTCAGTGTTAAGAGTAAAATATGAAATTAAGAAATTAATCTTTAACTTTTAAATTGGAATATAAATATTAGCATGAAATCAAAATTTATCTTCTCTTTGGGGAAAAAAAAAGTATTTTCCACTCTCTCATTGAAAAGTCCTTGAAGCAATGACAATCCGGTAAGTACACCTCCCATTCAGATTGTGGTCTCTAACTATGATTTCTCATTAAGAGGAACCAGGTCTCTTAGGAAAAATCACTGAATCCAGGTCTGGGACAGGAAATATATAAGATAAACCTGGGCCATCTTATTCCAGAGAGCAAGGAAGCTATTTGAATCATGTCACAAAAACAGGAGAGTAACATTAAGGGCCTTTCAGTGATCTAAAATGAGGCAAGATGGGGCGCCTGGGTGGCTCAGTCGTTAAGCGTCTGCCTTCGGCTCAGGTCATGGACCCAGGGTCCTGGGATCGAGCCCCGCATCGGGCTCCCCGCTCGGCGGGAAGCCTGCTTCTCCCTCTCCCGCTCCCCCTGCTTGTGTTCCTGCTCTCGCTGTCTCTCTCTCTCAAAAAATAAATAAAATCGTAAAAAAAATAAATAAAATGAGGCACGATGAACATCAAAACAAATACTGACTACAATATATATAAATATATAAAAATGACTACAAAATGAGTTAATAATCACACACACATATACAGCTCCTTGGTCACTTTTGGAGGTCGCTAGGGCACTCCCTCATTACTTTGAAAAATGATAAATTAACAGAAAGAATAAAGCATTTATCCTTTTTTGCTTATCCTTAAAATTATACCAGGAAACTAACTAATATATGGAAGTTATTCACAGAAGAATCTCACCTACCACACGCACTAAAATGTTAGAAGATAGTTCTAATGAAAAGTATACATCCGGGTAATGATCATCTGTGGATGCTAAAAGCATGAAAGGTTGATGGAGAAATTAGGCTTACATCTCTGAATCCATGGATAATTTTAACATTAATAAAAATGTGCCAACAGACATTATTTGCTTCTTGATATGATGATGCAATAAGTAATGCACACCTCCTCCTCATGAAGGAATCTTGCAGAAAGGAAAAAGAAAAAATTGAACCTGAAGTTAATCAAACCTCTAGATCTCACTATCATATTGCCAGATCATGAGGCAATATTGGGGAGAAAGGCACAATTTACAATAAACCAGGGAAGGTCAATCGGCCAAATCCATAATGTTGGACACTCTATAGGACAGATACATTAGGTTCTCCAAGAAACCAATGACATTTTTAAAAGGAGTGGGAGGAGTGCTTTTATAGCTTCTATATGGGATGTAACCAAAAAGCAGCCTATCATTAAAAGGTTTTGGGTTGAGTAAGGCCTGTATTTGGACTACTTTTGGGGGTTTTTAGAATGATTACAACAGAAGGATCTTATGTGCTCTGGGATTGTCCAGTGAGTGATACAGAGCCTTTGGGAATTCTGGGGATTCCTGGTGCTACCGGGAAGCTTGATTTGGTATTTGCTCCCTTTAACTCCCCTGCAGCCAAAGACCTCAGGAGATTGCTCAGCCTACATTCAGCCTAAGCTGTACCTGTCCGTTCAGGTTGGGTAGGAACTAGAGCCTCTGGAAAACAATTTTCTAATACCCCAAACATCTGCCATTTTATTTTAATGAGGAAATATGTAAAGCTGTCGTAGGTCATCCTGCAGTCTAAGGGAAATTCCTTCTTGCCCCAATCAATCCTGAAGACAAGTCACTGCTGTGGTTTTACCAGACAGACTGATTAAAAGGAATGTCTCATTGTGGGACACAAAATAATACAAAAAAGAATGGGCTGGCTTTTAATAAAATAGTCTTTTACTGAAAAAAAAAATTACTCTGGACCACCGCTCATTCCTCCTCTGTGCACACACATTGTCCCCTGTTGAACCACAGAAACTGCAGTGGAGCCTTTAAGATTGCCTGTATCACAGCATCTCTAAGTATACATGCTATCTCTGCTGACAGCCTTGTAGACATTTAGCTGATGATATTATTCAGTAAGAGAATGTCCTCTGGAGTGTCTGTCCTTAATTATTATAGAGGCTGTACAAGCTTATCTTTATAGGCTTCATGTTTCCAGTAAAATATAGGTCTTGTGATAAAAATAAGCAAAGGTAGAAAAGTACAGCTTGTAGTTTTAAGATATTCTTTGTCTAGATATTCTGTTATAAGTCTAGAATAGAGGCAAGCAAATGTGGGAATTGGATTCATCCCAAATTATTTCTTCCTTCACTCAGTATTCCATTGGTCACCAAGTGTATGTGTTCAACTCTATGCTAATGCTGCTGTCTTATTCCAGGAAAATTAATACATTCTCCCAAGTTGCCTTCTTGCCTGTCTGCTCCCTATCTAGTCATCCACACTGATGCCAGAGTAATCTTTCTGGGGAAAAAAAAAAATCATATCAGGTTACTACTCTTAAAACTCTTCAGTGGTTTCCTATTGGATCTTCATGTTAACTGTCAAAGTTCCTAGTGTGCCATTTAAGACTTCTTACAAGTGGACCATGACATTCCTCTCCAGATTTATCTCCCACCATTCCACCATCACCTGTAAGCTACAATTCAGTTTGCACTAAATTATGGTCAATTTCCAAAGAATGTCATACTGCTTTGGTTTTTTGTAATGTAGTTAACAAATTTTGTGTATGAGAACCATCCAGGGAGCCAGGCGTAAGGCAGGCTCCTATGCCCCACGCCCAGGAGTTTTGATTTAGTGGGTTTGAGTTGGCAAAGATGTACATTGCAAACAATGACTCCAGATGATTAGGAGGTACACTTGTGTCATACTTTGAGGAACACTATTTTATGCCAGTGTAAGTTTTTTTTTTTCCCCTTTGAAATGAATATCGTTCCCTCCTTACTATCCTCTTGATAAGCTGAATCTTCTGGTTGGCACAGCATTCCTTGACCTACCTCAAGCAGATCTGATCATTTGCCCTGTGGGTTTGGCTGTATCTAGTACAGCTTCTCAGATGCACTAATACAGCTCTTAATTATTTTCCTAGGAGCTTTATTGTTAGGGTGTTCAAGTTTTTCATGCAAAATTGATAGATTATATTTCGATTTTAAAATGGGTTATTATACATATTGTATACTGTATAAAAATTAAAAGTATATAAAAGGATAAAAATAAAAATAATCCAGAATTTCAGCACTAGATGTTTATCAACCACGTTTCTGTCTCTTTGAGGTGGAAGTAGCTCAGTCAAGAGGTATAAACATGCTAACGGTCTCAGAATATACTGACCAATTACATCAAAGTTATATCAGCTTATCACCATCTGAGAATCTAAGAATGCATGCACATGCCCAATACATTGGGTTTTAAATGAACAGAAAAACGAATCACTCTTTGTTACAATAAAATGGTATCTCATCATTTTTTTAATTGGTATTTCCAGG